CGGGGGCGGCCTACGGGCTGGGCAGCGTGTACTCGGCAGCCTTGGTCATAGCGCTGACCCTGCTGGGCTTCCTCTTGCTGCTGCTGCACAGCGAGCGGCTCAGTCTCGCCTTCCTGCTCCTCTTCCTGGAGGCCTTCGTGCTGCTGCACATCCACGCCCGTGCCAGGAGCCTTGCTGGAGACGCGGGTGAGTTGGGGCTCAGCAGAGCATGCTCTGGGTCTGCCTTGGGCTGTGGTCTGGGCTGTGTCTCCAGTGGCCTCTTCCTTTCTCCATTGGAAGTGGGAGGGGGCAGTCTCTGCTCCCAAGGAATGGGATGCACTGATCGCTCCTGTGTTTACAAGAGCTGCTTAAATCCCCTAAAAATGCCTATGCAGCAGGGATGCAGTGTGGGAGGGGAGCCCCTTGTGTCAGGAAAGGGACTTTTTCACCCAAATCCGCTTGGGAGGAAGAGGAGTCCGGTGCGTCAGGGAAGGGATTTTTTATTCACCCATTTCCTCTCCCTACACTGTGAGAAGCCACTGAACCTCAGTGCTGCTGACAGGGCCCTGGGAGCAGGGCAGAGCGTGGAGGGGATGTCTGACTACCTGCCATTCCCTGTGCTGGGAGCCTGCTAGGTTGTGTGGGAAGGGAAACTGGGAAGAAAGACAATGTGCTGTTTTAGACTGTGGATCTCTTTGTTTCCTCAGTGCTGATCTCTCTGTGTCTCTCTCTGTCTTTCAGAGCCTTTTTTGGTGCCCTGGTATGCAGTCCTCTCCTGGCTCCTTGCTGCTTCCCAGTTCTTCTATTCCACAGGCCACCAGCCCATCTTCCCAGCCATCCATTGGAACGCAGCCTTTGTGGGCTTCCACCTTGACCACAGCACTAACATCCTGCCTGCTGTCCTGGTGGGCGCCAACACGTTTGCCTCCCACATCCTCTTTGCAGGTAAATCAATTTATTCCCGGGCCACTAAGCCTAGGCCGGCAGAGCTCCCACCTTGTTTTTGGCCAGCCCAAGAGCAACATTTTTACTGTCCACTCCTGTGGCCACTGTTGCCTGCAGGCTCCGTGAAACTGGGTTAAACTGGAATGGAGTATGTGCTTCCTGCATGCCCAGAGCGCAGTGTCTGAGCACTCCTCACCCTCGGGCTCCCTGTAACTCCCTGTGCCTTTGTCCTCGAGGCAGTTGGCTGCCCTCTGCTCCTGCTCTGGCCCTTTGTGTGTGAGACGCCCAGCGCACAGAGGAAGAAGTCCAGGAAGGAGCCCCGGGAGGAGCTGCTGGAAGAAGAGGAGCACATGATGGAGATGAGGCTGCGGGAGGCCCCGGAGAGGCTCTCTGCAGCTCTGCTGCAGCTGGGACTGAAGTACCTCTTCATCCTGGGCATGCAGGTATGGGCAGAGGCAGATGGGAAGGACTGCTCAAGAGGAGAGGGGTGGTCAGAGCCCAGGGCACCTCGACATAATGAGGACTCAGCCAGAGCAGAGAGAGGGCCAGGGCTGACGTGTCTGGGTGCAGGTGGAAGGGCAGCTGCATAGATCCTCTCCTCAGCAACGCCTTTGCTTCGGGAAAGGTTCCAAGGTGAAAGCAGTGGTGCAGATCAGGCTGCCTTTCAGATCCATCTTTGCAGAGTGGGGGCATCTGCTCAGAAGCTGCAGAATTGTAATCCTGCTTCCCCTCTTCCTGACCTTGCACTAGCTGACTCATCTGACCCATATTGTGATGGTGTAGATAGCTAAACAGCAGAAAACTTATCTCATGAAAGAAGTGAATAGCTCTCAGGGAGTTAGCCCATCAAATCATCTCTCTGAGTGGTCATTCCATAACCAGTAAAGGGGAAGGGGCAAGCCCTTACAGCAGGAGGGCACCAGTGCCCCTCTCAGTGAGCTCAGGGCAGCTTAGCTGTTTTGTCTTTCCCCATTTGAAGCCACAGTGGAAGAAAATCCTCTTTGTGTTGCCTGTTTCTGATGTGTACAGTTCTAGCCCTTCAGGTGTGCGTGGCTTAGTACTCTTCAGATGTGCATCCGTTGCCCAGGAGGTCTCTCCAGAGTCATTTGTAACCTGTTTTTCCTCGTCTCCCCCACAGCTTCTGGCCTGTGTTTGTGCAGCTGTGATCCTCAGGAGGCACCTCATGGTCTGGAAAGTCTTTGCCCCAAAGTAAGTCCCAGGAGTTGCTCTGATGCTGGATTAGGGCTCTTATTCCCAAGCTGTCAATTAGTGTGCACAGACAGTAACGACAGAGGACCGTGGTCATTCATACTGACTTCTTACTTAGCAGAGGCCATAGGACTGTCCCATAAATTCCAGTTTCTAGCTGAGAACCTGGTCTTGAACTACTGTGTAGAAATTTCTCCTAATCATGGTTTCTGCAAAACATGCAGAGTTACCACATACCAGCTAAGCTGCCCAAGTAGGAATAGCCAAAGTATCCTGGGATCCCCAGACCGGCCAGGACGGTCCTGCCAGGCCAGAGCAGTGAGCAGGAAAATATTCAAGGCAGGGAGCAAATGCAGAGCTACCATCTCAGAAATGAGATGGCAGTAGGCATGGGCTAGCAGGGCCATGGGAAGTCCTTGGTGTCTTAAAGTTTTCCAGATTCCTCCTAAGTGTCTTCCTAGATGGTTTCTAGACCACCAGGGAACTTTAGGCCTGCTTGACTTCCAGGCTGCAGGCAGCATTCGTTGCTGGGTAAATGTTATTAGACTTTCGGATGTGGGGTGTTATCAGCCTCTTACTGTCAGGAAAGTCAGTCTGCTGGGAGTGAGGGCAAAACAACTTGTCCTTGCAGGAACGCTGGATGACCCCTCACCGTGTCTGTTGTGCCCCCAGGTTCCTCTTAGAAGCACTGGGTTTCGTGGTGAGCAGCATCTGCCTCCTGCTGGGGATCTCCTTGGTGATGCGTGTGGACTGTGCAGTCAGCACCTGGTTCACCCAGCTCCAGCTCAGGTAGCGTTGGAGATGTGGGGAACCTGACCTGCTCCTCGACCAAGGCTGTGGTTGTCTCCTTGCCTCCTGGGGCCTGGCGGGATCCTAGAGCCACCAGCAACGAGTGCCTGTCGACAGCAGTCAGGGGCCGTCCCCAGCGCGCAGCGGGGTGCCCGCTGTTCCCTGCTCTGGCAGTGCTCCCTTTCCCAGTAGTTGGGCTGCAGCTCCTGCTGGGCATTTGTGAACAGCAGAGGCGGCTGCTGCAGGAGGCCAAGACACAGGAGTCCTGAAGTGCCCCTCTGCAGCAGCGCCAGCCAGGGGCTTTGCTGCTGCTTCCCTCACAGCTCTGCCCACCTGCAGCTGGAGGCCTCATGGCCAGCACACTGCCCGGGATGTTACCTTGCCTGTGCCAGGACAGGGACCTGCTGGACGGGACACCTTCCAGTGCCGAGGAGGGGAAGGAGGGCTACGACCCAGCTGTGTCACCAGGGCCTGCACCCACCATCTCTTCTCCTTTCTTCCTGCGTACTTAGTTTTCACGCTCGAATCCAAGTGCACGTGGTGGTGTGTACACTCGTTCATGGGGTCTCGGTGGCAGCCGCTCTGCTCCAGCTGTAGAGCCTGCTGGTTGCTCTGTGGTAACCTGTGTTCACTACCACATTCTTGGTCTTTCTCAACCCCTCTGTCTTGTGCGGTCTGAGACAGGCTCAGCTTCTTGGAAGGGGGACAGCATAGGCCTGTCTGGCCGAGAACCTCTGCACGGGGACTCGTCCTGCTGGCTCTCTGCACACACTGGGCTCTAGCAGCCCGGGCTCCTGTCTCTTCAGGAGCTTATGCTGGCTGTTGGTTGGGAATGATCAAATTGCAGCAGGATGTAGTGATCATAGAATCATAGAATGCTTAAGGTTGGAAGGGACCTCTAGAGGTCATCTAGTCCAACCCCCCTGCACACACAGGGTCACCTAGAGCACGTGGCACAGGACTGCATCCAAGCGGGTTTTGAAGATCTCCAGAGAAGGAGATTCCACAACCTCTCTGGGCAGCCTGTTCCAGTGCTCTGTCACCCTCACTGTTAAAAAAATTTTCCTTAAGTTCCCCTGGAACTTTTGATGCTTTAGTTTCTGGCCATTTCCTTTAGTTCTATCAGTGGCCACCACTGAAAAGAGGCCAGCACCATCCTCCTCACTGCCTCCCTTGAGGTACTTATAGACACTGATCAGATCCCCTCTCAGCCTTCTCTTCTCCAGGCTGAACAGGCCCAGCTCCCTCAGCCTCTCCTCATAGGGCAGATGTTCCAGGCCCCTCATCATCCTTGTGGCCCTGCGCCGGACTCTCTCCAGAAGCTCCACATCCCTCTTATACTGCAGAGCCCAG